AACCTCATAGACCGCGTTATGTGGAGATGACGTCGAAACGTGATCAACGGGAGACAGCAAACGAGAGCTGCGCTCGGGTGGCGGGGCATTGCATCGCAAAAGACTGCGTACTCGTTGAAGAGCGTTGCCCAACAAATTGAGACCGCGCCACCGAGAGGTGTATTGAGCGTCAGGATTATCGGCTTGAAGGCCAATGCCCCAAATACAGTCGTAGGGACTAGCTTCGGCAAGGATTTTGTCGCCAGATCCGAGAAGATGATCGCACAACTCGGAGTTTTGACTAAATTTTGCGTAAGAGGCAGTGAGCACAATATTTTCGCGCTCGTGTTCCCAAAGAGATGGGTCGAAACCACAGACACCGCGGCCAAACTTCTTGTGTAAGGCAGGATTGGACACTCGCATGATGTTCTGCAAAGCGCTATGGTCTTTGAAAAGACGAGCTTTTTCCGCAGCGAAAAACTGCTCTGCACACGAGTATACCACTCCATCGACCACAAAAGTCGACGGTGTCCACTGTGAAAAAGGAGATGGGGGCTGCCAAAAGAAGACCATGTCAGGAGTGCAATACTCGTTAGACGGATCGAAGACAGCGGGGACTGCAGGAGCCGAAGTACCTGAAGTGTGTTCAGCCGAAGCGGAGGTGGCAGCCGAAGCTGGTGTAGCCGAAACGTCCGCATTGTAATTTACGGCATGGACGTCCATGGGGACGGTCTCAGACATGTCAGAAATCGGCGAAGAATCGACCGGAGTCGGATTGTTCACAATAATTGGGCCAGCGGCATCATGCTGGGTGTGCCCCAATTCTAAACCTGAAGAAACGCCTCGTAAGGAGTTAATTAACAGGCCGCTTTCGCTAGGAACGGCCGCCAAAGCCGGGTCGGGTAAAAAACCAAACCGGGCATGGTGCTCCTGGCCATTCCTCCGTGACAAGGTACGCGAGACCGCCGGCTGTTCGGAGGTCACTCCGGGAGGGTCCTCCCGAAGCGGTGGTGTCAATACTGTCGACGTCGGTCGCGGCGGCCTGGGATTGGGCGCCGTAGAGCGAGCGTGCGTCGGAAGGGATGGAGCGCGTGAAGACGATCCATGGTCGAAATATCTCGTGGCGGAATCGGATGGTGTTCGGTGGTCAGGACCAAAAGAACAACGTGATTCGAAACCAGGCGAATTTGACCCTGCAACTTGCCGGTCGGAACCGGTTAAGTTAGCTACCGGTGCAACAATCAAGGGCGAACCCTCAACGGAAGCGAGCACAGACGAGTTGAGCGTATCCGAAGATTCACCCGAGGTAACCAATTCAGACGATTCCTCTTCAATCGTCCAAAGCGCATGACTACTGCCGGTCTGATCTGCAGACGACGGGGGGAGCGAACGAGCGGTGCCCGAAGAACGAGCGTTACTTGATGGCCCCGAAGGTCCTACGGTTCTGTTCCCGCACCTCAAGACAGCACTCGCGCCAGACTGGTTAGTTTCTGACGGAGCGCCAGCCGGAAGAGGCAGAGACGCAGAGGTGGCAGACGATAAGTGCGATGGAGTAGGTGGGACGAGAGCATTTGGCTGGATACCAACCTGATTGACACTTGGAGAAACAATGGATACCGAAGTATGGTTGTTATTGTGTGGCACCGAAGTACCAGAAGGGAAAACATTCACCGAAGTGTGGTTATCGTTGCGTAGGACCGAAGTGCTAGAGGCAACAGTTGGTGAAGGCGCAACAGATACCGAGGTACTGTTGTTGTGGCGTAAAACCGAAGTATCAGAGGCAACAGTGTGTGGGGGCGCAACAGATACCGAAGTATTGTTGTTGGTGCATAAAACCGAAGTAGTAGAGGCAACAGAGCGCGACACACGAGCGTCTTGTGATGAACGAGACGAAGTCCCCGAAGATGCTGAAGGCGGTCCGAGGGAAGTAGGCGAACCACCGTTGGTGAGTCATCCGCTGCGCGAGCGACCACCATGTTGGAAGTTGCCAGGTTGACGGGCATTGTGATTGGTCGAAACCATGATGCCAGAAGAAGGACCGGTGTGTGCATGTGTTTGTGGTTGATAGAGGGACAGAGCACCAGTGTGTTGGGTGTTGACCGGAGTGTGTTGCTGAGAGTGAGAGTTACCCGCAGAATTCCCCTGGGCATGCCCACTGTTGTGCGATTGTGAGGGGAACTAGCACCGTCGGAACGGCGATTCCCAGCGTGGTTTCGACGCTGAGAGGACGGAGAGGAAGAGCGCTGGTGGCGTCTACCCTGATTGTTTTGGTGGTTGTCCGCATTTTTTCGGCGAAAAGACCGCATACGGCCTTGCCAACGTCTAAAAGCAGCAGAATCGTCGTTGAGGAGGCCCAACTCGGGGTTCAACAACCCACTAGAATTCGTGAACGGTGCAACGCATTGTTTCATGGAATGGTCTTCACCCGAACAGTTCAGACAACAATTCCTGTTTTCGCGGAAGGCTTGCGAGCGAGCCTCTTGTGTCAACAAAGGAGTCCATAAAAAAGGATCATCCGTGTTACGAAAACTAGAAGTGAGAGCGTATACATCAGACCAATCGGCTTGCGAGGCAGGCCAAGAATTATAGTTGCGTGTGAAAGGGTCGGCATCGTGCGAATGTACCGGCAAAACGACAGGGTTTTGGGCAGAACCGGTTGCCCACTGGCCCGAAGGCGCGGGAGCGCGGTTGTGGGACCGCCGAGGCTGCGAGGAGCCATGTGTCGAAGACAACGAACTATACAACTAATATCTAACCCTAACCCTAAGTCCTGCCGACGACGCCAAGTGTGGTGGTATACACGCGTGATGAAGTCTGGTTGACCCGTGGAGAAGAACTCACTTGTTATTACTCTTGCAGAATAGCAGCAGCAGTAGCTGTTGCCTTGGGTATCGGTAGGAATGACACCAAGGGGCGCAGGATCCTCAGTACAAACAGGGGCTACTAGATCCTGTCCCCTTTGTTTTATCCTTCCGCGGAGAGTTGCATCTCTCCGCGCCTTCTAGAAGGAACCATGCTCTTCTATGTTCCGTCTACACATCTGAATCCTATAACAAAGAGCATGCCAGTAACAATTTGTTGGTGCCGCGTCGATAGCTCTCCGAGCTAAAGCGGACTACGATACGCGTGTACACGCGAACTGTTCGTGATAGTTGCTGCTGTGTGAGTCGACAGAGTTACGTAGAACAACTTGATTGGACAGTTTCAATTGCGAGACTGTCTGCGTTGAAGATCGTTAAGTAGCCACATATTATCAGAACAGCAAGGAATATTCTGTGAGGATGTTCTCCGTGGATGGTGCATTACCCCGAGTGTGTTTGCGGATAGTGCATCCATCAGACAAAGGATTGATGGTACTTTTGTGAGGTATGTTAGCCGCTGTTCAGTCTTTGTGTTCCGATCTTCTATTGTGTTCGGCTTTTGGGCGCTGGGTAAGGGTTAGGGTTAGGGTTAGGGTTAGGGTTAGGGTTAGGGTTAGGG